CCCCCCCCCTGTTCCCCCCCTTTCCCCCCCCCCCCGGCCTTGCCGCTGCCAAGCACTGCCATGCGGTGTGTTACTTACATTTGGGGGGCTTAGCTTCATTTCAAAAGATTATTGGGTTTTACGATTTTTGAGCTCGTGTTAATATAATAACAGGTTGCAAGTGATTATCACTGTCATTGTTTCTGTTGGCAGGGCACCACAGAGCCACAAAATGCATTTGGATCCCTCCACCTCGCAGCCAAGGGAGGACTTAACTGCTCTCATACTTGCATTAGCCTTGGTCCACTCGCCGTTTGATTTCCCCTGCCAACGCAGCAGCGACCATTTCTGCCCCTGCTCTGCTCAGACTACTAGATCACTTCAATACCATGAAGGAGGCAAAGTTGTATACCAGCTGACATGAGCCTGGGATAATCTGGAGGCTGCTTCCTCCTCCCTGACAAAAAGCGTAGAGCAGGACTGGCTGCCTCTTAATTCCCTGGTGTTTGAGCTTTACCCTCACAAACAGAGACACTTTGGGATGGACCTGTTGAACTGACCGAAATCACAAACCTTTGGTACTTGTGTTCAGAGGATGCTGATGGGATGGTGTCCAAGGAGGGCGCACGCCCTTCATTTATACACCAGTACATCAAAGTCGTGCCCTCGTCTAGAAAAATGGGGGGAGTCAACAAACTAAGCAACATGCACCTACCCGCTTGCATCAGCAGCAACTGGATTCCCATGCACGAATGTTTTGCTCAGCTCCCTGGGTCAGTCTGCACCTATTTGCATCTTGCATCCTCTGTTCAATGCAGAGGCAGGAGAAAATGCTTACTTTGCCACCGCATATGCGGGGTCTTCCACATTTGCCAGCAAAAGCATCCCAGAAATAGGATGACCTGGGAGGGGAGGGGTCTCTGCAAACTGAGCAGCTCAAATCCGACTGTCTGACAACCTGCAAATTCTGCTTCCTTTTTGCAGTTCCCTCTTTTTAACACCCTCTTCCCCATGCTAACTCCAACAAGGGCTCTCCACGCAGCAGTTGCAGGTATGGCTGCTCCCCCCTGGTGAGATGCCGGCGTATCTTAGCAGGGGCTGGAGTCCTGCCTGTGGCAGCTGGTGGATAAGCAGCTTTGCGACTCTGAAGCTTCTGTTTTAGCTCCAATTATGAATCCTGCTGCACTTCTAAATGCTTATGTCTGGCTTATTTCTAACTTGTAAGGTCTTTGTGCCTTAACCTCTACTCAGGGGAAACGCTTGCCCTTCTCCCCTTTGATGGCAAGGATGTCCTGGGATACGTGTCATCTGTTCCTAAGAAGTGATTCCTGCTCAGTGCCCAGGCAGAAGATGAATCACTAATGGGTTTGTGCTTTGGAAGAAATGTTTTGCTGAGCCCAGCCTGGCAATAGGTCAGTGAACTCCCTTTTACTGCAGCTACAGCCAGCATTTTAGAACTAGCAGCGTTTACAACTCTTCACGCCACAGGCTAGCCCTCTATCGTGAGCCACCCACCTTTAGAAGGAAGAGCAATAGCCCTTGATTTGCAACTTTGCATGTTGCTTTAGTAGTTAGGTGGTGCTTTATCTCATCTTCGGCCTTCTTGAGATTTAGAAAAGCCCAGAAAAATCCCCGAGGCCAGTGGTATCACAGGCTCTGGGGTGCTAGAAAGCCAGAGGTCGAGCAGCTTTTCCCAGCCTGGGGTTTGTGTGTCACAGACAGCAAGCAGCCTGCAAAGCTTTTCTTTTTTATCTTTTTTTTAAAAGCTACAACACTCTCTTTAGCCCTGAAATAGTAGTGCTAAAGCAGGCCGTCAGGAACTGCAGAGATTTGTTTAAACTAACCTGCCTGTCATTCAGGAGACGAGGCTCCGCTGCGAAACGCCGTGCTGCCTCCCAGCACAGTGCCCGCAAGTCCAGAACCTGCTTTACTGGGAAGCAGACGCCAGTTGGCAGCGTCCTCTCACCCAATTTTAGCTGTCTAAATGTTAGACATCTAGTCTGCGCTAACCATCTAGGCTGTCTGTAGACCAAGTGACGCGAGATGAATTCCACCCAGAATGGTTACCAGCCTGGCTCCAGGAAAGGAAAAATTAAATCAAGCTCTGGTGCGCCTAAGCATCATCCAGCATCCTGGGTGATGGCAAATTTCATCAGCAAAACAAGGCAGCTCTGGGGCTGGGATTTTTTATTTTTTATAATAAGACCCCTGGGCTCCTTCATATGAGGAGGAAAACACCTGCCAAGGATGGGCAACGTACACCGGTATTAGCTAGGCGAAAGGCTGCTTGTGTGTAAACAGGGATAGTCTCCAAGGACTTTTAAGATTTCCTCCAAACTTTAGAGAGCTGGAACATAGACCCAAACCCATGGAAACACTAAAATGTGAATAAACCCCATGTTATGGCACAGGGGTAACAACAGTAATCGTCGCTGTAGAAGTAATGAGTGAAGTTTTCTTCCAGTCTGTGGTTTTTGGCACACTGCAGCTCTGATGGTGGCCGCAGCCGAGCACCACCATTTCTGCCCCTCCGTCTTGTTTGTTTTTATCCTTTAACTGTTGTGTAGCAACTCAAGAGTCTTACTGGGAATACAAGGGCCAGCTGGTTTACAAATACAATTGTAGCATAATTAATTAAGCATTAACAGTCCATTATTATCTGTTATCACAGGGTACAAGCTCTGTCTCTCTGCCATGGAAACCATAGTGCAGGTTACCTAGGAATCCCTCCGGGATCTATTAAGTGTAATTACTAAGGACTTGGATCAGCAAAAAAAAAAAAAATGCATTGTTTTCCAGCCTCAGCACTGCAGAAAGTGCTGAAAACTTAGCAGCTCCGTGACATTTGTGCTGAATTGTCACATAATTGCCAGGAACAGGCTGCTGTGAAACGGTTAAGGAGCATTTAGCAAAAGAAACATAAGGGATTCACTTCGCTTTCTCCAGCGTATTACAGCATCTCCCGTGACTTGAGGAAGGGAGCCCAGGAGATGCTGAATGTGCCC